TACAACATCAAATAAAATACAAAATACATTAAAACAATAACAATTAAAATATATACAGTAAAATAAAATAAGCCGCCCGGGCCGAATAAAATTCAATAATATTAACATTTAAAATGCTGCTTAAATAAAAAGGTCTTCGCCTGGTGCCGAAAAACAAATAACGACGGCGCCAGGCGGACCTCTCTGGCGAGCGCGTTCCATAACATAGGCGCCACCGCTGAGAAAGCCCTCCTCCAAGTAGCCACCCTCCTAATTTCCTTCACTGAGGGCTCCCGGAGGGCCTCTCCCGCTGATTTCAAGGGGCAGCTGGGCATATATGGACGTAAGCGCTCCTTCAGGTAACCAGGACCCAAGCCGTTTCTGGCTTTATAGGTCATCACCAACACCTTGAATAGGGCCCGGACTTCAATGGGAAGCCAGTGAAGCTGACAGAGAACTGGAGTCATGTGAGCATAACGTCCAGTTCCCGTCAGCAGCCTGGCAGCTCTATTTTGAACCAATTGAAGTATCCGGACCGTCTTCAAGGGTAGCCCCACGTAGAGTGCGTTACAGAAGACAAGACGGGAAGTCACCAGTGCATGAGTCACTGTTGCGAGGCTGTCGTACTCCAGATAGGGGCGCAGCTGATGAATCAGCCGAAGCTGGAGGAAAGCGCTCCTTGCTGCTGCTGTTACCTGAGCTTCGAGTGAAAGCTCAGGGTCGAGGAGCACTCCCAAGCTGCGGACCTTATCCCTAGGAGGGAGTGCAACCCCGTTCAGGACAAGGTTCAATTCACCTTCTCCGAAGCCTGAACCGCCTACCAACAGGACCTCTGTCTTGTCTGGATTGAGCTTCAGTTTATTGGCCCTCATCCAGCCCATTACCTCGGCCAGGCACCGGTTCAGTACAGCCACTGCCTCACCTGGATTGGTGGAAAACGAGAGGTAGAGCTGGGTATCGTCAGCGTACTGGTGATTCCGCAGCCCACACCTCCTGATGACCTCTCTCAGCGGTTTCATGTAGATGTTAAACAGCAAGGGGGACAAAATGGACCCCTGCGGTACTCCATGGCATAGCTGCCATGGTGCAGAGCCATAATCGGCCATTGAGATAGGAGCGGAACCACTGCAAAGCAGTGCCTCCGACCCCCAGTCCCGCAAGCCTATCCAGAAGGATACCATGGTCGATGGTATCGAAAGCCGCCGAGAGGTCCAGGAGAACCAACAGGGACGCACTCCCCCTGTCCTTCTCCCTGCACAGGTCATCGTACAGGGCGACCAAGGCAGATTCAGTACTGTACCCGGGTCTGAAGCCGGACTGAAATGGGTCCAGATAATCAGTTTCATCCAAGAGTGCTTGGAGTTGTCCCGCCACCACTCGCTCTAACACCTTGCCCAGAAACGGGATGTTGGCCACTGGTCTATAATTAGTGGCCATCTCTGGATCCAGTGACGCCTTCTTCAGGACCGGTCGGACTACCGCCTCCTTTAAAGGGGCAGGCACCCGACCCTCCCTCAGAGAAGCATTAACCACTTCCAAGATCCAGGTTCCAATCCCGTGCTTGGAATCCTTTATTAACCAAGACGGGCAAGGGTCCAAAAGGCAAGTGGTGGGACGTACTCGTCCAAGCACCTTGTCCACATCATCGGGCCTCAGTAACTGAAATTCATCCAATAATTCTGGACCAGACAGTAGCATCGGTGTCTCCCTTAAGACCTCTGACTCAATAGTGGAATCCAGCTCGTGACGAATCTGAGCGATTTTCTCCCTAAAATGCCTGGCAAAGTCATCACAGTGGGCCTTTGAGGGTGGAACCAGGTCTTCTTTCGGACCTGGACGGACCAGGCCTCGCACCGCTCGAAAGAGCTCCGCCGGATGGCATTGTGAGGAGGCAATGGAAGCGGAAAAAAATCTCTTTTTCGCCACCCTCACCGCCACAGCATAGGCCTGATAGTGGACTCTTAAGTGTATTCGGTCAGATTCATCCTGTGATTTCCTCCACCTACGCTCTAGCCGTCTCCCAACCTGCTTCATCGCCCTCAGTTCAGGAGTATACCAAGGGGAAGAGCAGGCTCTGCCCGGTGGGAGAGGGCGCTTAGGAGTGATCGTGTCTACAGCCCTGATCATCTCCCCGTTCCACAGTTCGACCAGAGCCTTGACAGGCGCACCCATCTTGTCAGCCAGAAACTCCCCCAGAGCCTTCAGGAATCCTTCCGGATCCATCCGGCTCCGGGGGCGGACCCACACAATCGGGTCCTCACCCTTACAGAGGGAGAGGTCACTCTCGAGCACAAACCTCACCAGGAAGTGATCTGACCATGACAGAGGAGTCAAGCATAAATTTGCCACCCTCAGACCACCCTCTTCCTACCCCGTTGAGAAAACCAGGTCCAGAGTGTGTCCACGTTCATGGGTCGGGCCGGTGACATGTTGAGACAGGCCCATGGCCGTTATGGAGGCCATGAAGTCCTGAGCCGCCCCGGTCAGACTAGCCTCGGTGTGGAGATTGAAGTCACCCAGGACCAACATCCTGGGGGTCCTCAACGCCAGGTCCGAGACCGTCTACGTCAGCTCAGGTAGGGAGACTGTTGGGCAAAAGGGTGCACGGTACACCAACAGAATCCCCAATCTGTCTCGATTGCCCAACACCAAGTAGAGACACTCCAGCCCTGGTCTCGAAGGGACAGGAAGTCCTGTGAGGGAGATGGAGGCTCGGTAAACTAAAGCAACCCCCCCTCCCCTCCCCTCCGGCCGTGAACGGTGCTGAACCAGATACCCGGGCGGGCACATTTGAGAGAGGGCAACATCCCCCCCTCTCCCGCCCAGGTCTCCGTTATGCAGGCCAGGTCGGCCCCCTCATCCACAATCCAGTCATGGATGAGGGCAGATTTGTTATTGACCGACCTGGCATTAAGCAACAGCACCGTCAGGCCCGAGGGGCGACTGACAAGACTCCCTGGCACCCTCTGGCTGGGAGCAAAACCAGAAGTAGGGACAGGTGTCAGCCATCTGTCCATCCTTCTTCTATGTGGACACGTTAAGCTCCCACCGCTGTTACGTCCTCTGCCCATCACCACCCCAATGGCCGCGCTGGTGCGCTCCCCAAGAAATGCAAACGGCAGCCTGGCCAGGGACGACTCCATAAAACAATATAAACACTACAAAATTATAAAAACATTTAAAAAATTCAGCGCTCAGCAGGAGGGCCTAACACAACGAGAGTGAAAGCCCCCTGGCCAGCCCAGCCCCCCACTCGGCCCCCCCAAACGGCCCCCCCAAACGGTGGCGACCACCCTTTGGCCGACACCCTTCGGCCACCGGCCCCGGCCACCGCCGGCGCTTTCAAGCCACCGGCCTCCCGACATCCCGCCTTGGCCGGCACGCCTCGAACGCGTGCAGGGGCGTGGCAGAGCAGCCAGATGGGTGGTGGAATGGCGGGCGGCGTGGCGCGGAGCGGCGCGGTCTACGTGGTGTAGGCTGAGGCGCAGCAGTTCTTCTCCGGCGTCGACTGCCGGGGCGCAGTTGTTGCTCCCGCTGGGCTCCCCCCGTGGGCTTTCAAGGCCCCGGGCTCCCGACGCCCCGCCTCGGCCGGCACGCCTCGAACACATGCAGGGGCGTGGCAGAACAGCCAGGTGGGTGGTGGAATGGCGGGCGGCGCGGTCTACTCGGCGTAGGCTGAGGCGCAGCAGTTCTTCTCTGGCGTCGACTGCCGACTCAAAGTGACTTGCAATCCTCCAACCCATCAGAAGGACACCAGACAGTTGATCAGGAAATTCCCAAAGCCCACCTTGGTTTCTCTAGAAATAAAAGCTGTGGGCCACAATAGGTGAAGTTCTGGAATCAGCAATGCACATAAGTTTTTGGCTGCTCTAGTATGTACATTGGTCTATACCACCCTTGCAAAGAGGCCCACAAAAGGTGCGCAGCCACGGTATCTTATTGCCCTATTATAGTTGATTCAGTAATATATGAATTAGTTCAATGGGGCAAGGGATACAAGCTTTTCTGCATGGAGGTAATTCTTACTTAAAGGAGCTTCCAGATGGTCTTAACAGTCCAAAAGCATTGTGGCACCATTTTGTTTTTCCTTGCTTATTGGCTTTCCCACGTAAGAAAATAAGACGGAAGAAACAGTGGCAAAGCATGGAAGCGTTACAGGTAGAAAATGATGACTGTGAGCCCTTGTAAAAATGCCATGGGCAAGGCAGAGCAGTGATTGCATCCAGCAGCCCCTAACCTCCACAAGCGTGGTAAATGACCTATTGCTAGCAATAAGCAGGTGGTACTGGTGTGTGCCATATAAAAAAGTCATATGAACATGTATGTCAATTTTTGTTGCAGTGAGTACTTCAAGAACCTCTTCTACAGACAATAGCAGTAAGCCCCTTGATGCTACCTTTGAACAAACTGCTGGAGGACAAAGAGGCCCTTACAGAGCAGCAGCATTTAATGTCCCCAACTGTGCCTCTTCTCCCAGGCTCTCTGATGCTGCTGATACAACCAAAGCATCTGCCATCCTGAGCCAGTATCTGATCAGAGTTGGCGACAATGTAGCTTGTCTTTCCGACCCAAATTTTCTAGAAGTTTGCAATCCACCTCTTTTCAAAGATACAGCCTACAGGTATGAATTTCTGAAGACACCTTTTTAAAAACACAGCTACCCAGGTTATTTTGAAAGAGGCAGGTGAGTTCTAATTTAATGGTGTTAATATGAACCTGCCTGGAATCATGATCTACTATGTCAGAGGCCCTCCCTGGAGAATCAGATGACTGGGGAGAGCGCTGTTTTGATGCTAGTGCCCTATTTGTGGAATATCCTTCTCAGCAAGGAAGTGAAATTCTAACTCTTCTTTTTTGCAAGTACAAGCTAAAGCTCTTAGGTTTTCAGTGGTCTAACCATACAACTACCATTTTAAAAAACTATCTTCTGCTGTTTTTATTTGTGTACATTGCTTTGAATATTCAGAAGCAGCAGGTATATATATTTAAAACAATGCTACTCTTCAGTTGACTTTCAGTTCGGATCTAGTTGCAGCGAGTCTTCATACAAACAGCTAGCTAGACTTGACTAAAAAGGCAAATTTGAGCCATAGTGCTACTCCTAACCTGGCTTAAAAGGCCTGTATTTTTCTGGCTACTCTTCTGGCAGTTCCTCAGCCCAAGTATAGGAATTTGGGTGTCTGCCCAACAGCCACAGAGTCAGCCACAGAGTAGCCCTTGAGCGGTCCTTCTCAACAGCTGTTTTATCCTTGTAACCTTCCTTTCCCCCATTGCATGTCCAGATGTGTTTGGGCAGGGGTGGGCTACTTGTGTCCCTTCAGCTGTTTGGCTGTCTGGAACTGATAGAATTTGCAACTTCTGGAGAGGATCAGGTTAAGAAGGCTCCTCAAATGTCCTAATTAATTATCGTGTCTGTCTAAATTCCAGGAATAATATCAAGGAAAAGGATTGGAGTAGGGTTATGATGTGTTAAGGTATTGTGTTTTGTTTTTGAAAAAGTTGTATTCTTTCCCTTGATTCCAGGTTTAAATACATCCTTGTTGACAGAACAACAGATGTCATGAAAGACCAAACCCTCTGGTCTTATCCAATCAAAACAAAAAAGTGTGAGTGTGTCTCCTGGAGTGGATTTTATTTCTTAGAAAATTAGTGTTCTAAGTTCAAAAAACAAGTCACTTGCTTTTATTTCATTTGCTGGCCTACCTAAATAGTTAAAAGATGCATATAGGAACTGAGCCAACTCCTCTTAAAATATAGCCTTCAAAGGCTGTTGAACTGGGTACTGATTCAGAGAAGGAAGAGGGGTCAGAATCCAAAGCTGAATTGCTAAGGTCAGCAGACCCAGAGATAAGCCTGGAAGTTGCTCAGAATCAGAGTTTCGAGTTTGGTGGTGAAGTCTAGTGAGCTAGTTGATATGGGAAGGAATGGGCCCAACATCACTAGTCTGATCACATGGCATCAGCTTAAGGGAGTGAGAAGCATCAAATGGGAGTCAGTTTAACATGATACAGTAATAACTTTTAGTTACAAAGACTTTGTTCTGACCTGCTTTGTTCTGAAGGAGGAGGTGGAAGGAAGACCAGCAAAGACAGTACACAAAGCATACAACACACCATGATTGAAAATGTTAAATCACTTGAACCTAGGAGTTTTATTCTCCTCATAGATGACCCCATCTATCCACTAGGTCAAACTACCCACTTTGGCTTTTTAAAATATCCTTGAGCACCATTTGCAATTATATTTAGCTTTGTCAATATAAATCTCTGTTTTCTCTTTTTCCACCTACATGTTTCACCTAAGGATGAAGTGCTTTGGAGTGAACAAATGGCTTTTATGTTTTCAAAAATGGGGAGTGGGGGAAGGTCTAAAATTGTTTGGTCTTCCCAGCAGACCTTGGGATAGTCCCAAGTGTATGTTGAAATTAGTTCCTGTTAAGCCCCTCCCCCCACCTTCAGCTTAAGATAGTGACTAAATATGGACTCCGTGGCTTCAACATCAACCACTTTTTCTTTCATCTAGCCCAGAGGTTGGCAAAGAGCCATTTAACACTCAAAGAGCCATTTAGACCCGTTTCCCACACAAAAGAAAACACTGGGAGCCACAAAACCCTTTTGACATCTAAAATGAAGATAACACTGCATATATCGTTTTTTACCTTAATGCTATGTATATCTTCATTATGATTTAGCTGCAGCTCTTGTTCAGTCACTAAAAACTTATTTTAAATCTTACATTATAAACTAGTAGGACTCCTTTCATATATTTCGAATAGGAGAACAGCTTCCTGAAGAGTCAAAGTCAGTGCTAAAGGGGTACATACATTAAACAGCAAACCCCATAAGTTCGTCAGCAGTAAAAGCAAATGAACCTACCCACATATCATTAAACGTTTGGTTTTCTTCAGAAACTTTACTTTTCTTCGATTTATCCATGGTTGGCCTACCAGGGAAAGTCGCAGATATACATAGGTGTGTTTAGTGACTGATTAGCAGATAAACAGTCAAGTGATGTGAATTGTGACAGGTCCCAAGCACAGCTTTTATTATTGAGGAAGGAGATTACATTTGGACAAAGAGAATCTTTTCAGCAGCCTTTCCTGTAACATGAGAGCCTGCAGGAAACTTGTTCCACTCTTTCCCTGCAGTGTCGCAATTTACTTAACCTGCTAGCGCAGGGTTCCTGAGTAGATGCCTCATCACCTATTGGTATCTCAATCTTACCTTCACAACAATAACACCCTTTGAAGCAGGTTGGGCTGAGAGTCTATGCCTGGTTCCAAGTCACCCAGTGAGCTGCACACCTAAGAAGGGATTAGAACCCAGATTGTCTAAATCCCAGCCCTATGCTCTTAACCTCAACACCACCTGCAAGGCTTCTCCCATTTCCTTTCTTTCCTTCCTGCAGTGGTCTCTGCTTACTAGCTGCATATTTCCTGTAGTCCTGAACAGGAGCAGCCAAGGGCTCCATATGAAAAAGGAATCCATAAGCCTGCAGACTGTGAAACAGTGGGACATGTCCTAATTAAAATGTCCTCTTGTAAAGTTGAGAAGAATTAAACTGTTGATGCTGCACATATGTTGGTAGGCAGAATAACATAAGGCAACTGAGGAAGTACCTGTTTGCAAAGAAGAAATGCTGTCCTGTTATCATTATGCATATATCCTGCCTTTTTTCTCTTGCAAGGAACTCAAGGTAGCTTACATGGTCTTAGCAGGATGCACTTAAGAGGAACATCCAGAGCACCTCTTAACTTTGAGATTGTGAAAGACAATTTGTATTTCTGCTCCCGCTGTTGTATTTGCACACATCATTAAAATCTGAAGGCATGGATGTAATTTCTCAATAAGGTATATGGTGCTTTTGCATTTAAGTGTCCACCTGATAAGTGTCCAGATGTGCTACCATGGCTTTGTTCTGGTCAGCTATTGGGAATAGGTGCATGCATGCTATCTATTGGCTACAGCATTCGTTTTACTTCAAGCATTGCTTTTCAGTGATGATGCCTTTTGCTTTCAGGTGTGAATCATCCTTTTGCATTTCCCCACTTAGAGCCTCAGGAGAGAGTTTTGTTGAGACCAGATATGAATCCCAAACTGTTGAATAGGCAGCCACAAGAAACATCTGAGCCAGAACATTAGCTGCTTTTCTCATCCACTGGATATATTCTTCAAGATTGAAACACAGTGATCCAAATGCGAGTGTCCTTGACAACTGCCTCTGAATACTCCACAGCTGTCCAGATAGTAATTTTATTAGCCAAAGTGGACTGCTCATGTTGGAGAACATGAAGTGTTCCATGCACTGAACTAGAACATCTAAATCTTATTTCTAACTCTTTAGTAGTATTGATTCTGATCCCACCCACCTCCAGGATCTTTGGGCTATTTTGTTGTTTTTGCTAGTTGCAAAGTCATGTCCGACCCATCACAACCCCATGGACAACATTCCTCCAGGCCTTCCTGTCTTCTACCATCCCCCGAAGTCCACTTAAGCTCACGCCGACTGCTTCAGTGATTCCATCTAGCCACCTCATCCTCTGCCGTCCCCTTCTTCTTTTGCCATCGATTGTTCCCAGCATTAGGCTCTTCTCCAGGGAGTCCTTCTCTTTAGGTGGCCAAAGTATTTGAGTTTCATCTGCAGTATCTGTCCTTCTAAAGAGCAGTCAGGGTTGATTTCCTTTAAGATTGACTGGTTTGATCTCTTTGCAGTCCAAGGGACTCGCAGGAGTCTCCGCCAGCATCACAATTCAAAGGCGTCAATTCCTTGGGGCTCAGCCTTCCTTATGGTCCAGCTTTCACAGCCATACATGGCAACTGGGAAAACCATAGCCTTGACTATGTGCACTTTTGTTGGCAGGGTGATGTCTCTGCCTTTTAGTATGCTGTCCAGATTTGCCATAGCTTTTCTCCCAAGGAGCAAGAGTCTTTTAATTTCTTGACTGCAGTCACGGTCTGTGGTGCTCTTGGAGCCCAGGAAAATCTGTCACTACCTCCATTTCTTCCCCATCTATTTCCCAGGAAGTGATAGGACTGGATGCCATGATCTTAGTTTTCTTAATGTTGAATTTCAAGCCAACTTTTGCGCTATCCTCCTTCACCCGCATCAAGAGGCTCTTTAGTTCCTCTTCACTTTCTGCCATGAGAGTGGTATCATCTGCATATCTGAGGTTGTTGATATTTCTCCAGGCAATCTTAATTCCAACTGGTGATTCATCTAGCCCTGCCTTTCTCATGATGTGCTCTGCATATAAGTTAAATAGGCAGGGCGACAGTATACAGCCTTGCCGAACTCCTTTCCCAATTTTGAACCAGTCAGTGGTTCCGTGCCCATTTCTCACTGTTGCTTCTTGACCCCCATATAGGGTCAATCCTGTGGCCACTGCTGAGTTTTCCAAATTTGCTGGCATATTGAGTGTAGCTCTTTAACTGCACTTTCTTTTAGGATTTTGAATAGCTCAGCTGGAATACTGTCTCCTCCACTAGCTTTGTTGTTGCTAAGACTTCCTAAGGCCCATTTGACCTCACATTCCAGGATGCCTGGCTCGAGGTCAGTGGTAACACCATCATGGTTATCAGGGACGTTAAGCTCTTTCTTGTATAGTTCCTCTGTGTAATCTTCCCACCTCTTCTTAATCTCTTCTGCCTCTGTTAGGTCCCTGCCATTTTGGTTCTTTATCATGCCCATCTTTGCATGAAACATTCCCTTCATATCTCCAATTTTCTTGAAGAGATCTTTCGGCCTCCCTGTTCTATTGTTTTCTTCTATTTCTTTGCACTGTTCATTGAAGAAGGCATTCTCATCTCTTCTAGCTATTCTCTGGAATTCTGCATTCAATTGGGTGTATCTTTCTCTTTCTCCCTTGCCTTTTGCTTCCCTTCTTTCCTCAGCTATTTGTTAAAGCTTCCTCAGACAGCCATTTAGCTCTCTTGCATTTCTTTAGGGTTAGAGTTAGGGTTAGGGTTAGGGTTGGTTAGGGTTCTATGTATTTTTAGAAAGAAGAAAGTCCTACAGCTCCCAGCATCCCCAAGGCAACATGAATGGCTAGGGCATGCTGGGATTTAAGGACCCTGTCCAAACATTCATAGCACTACACCCTGAAGGACCTTTCCTTAATGAATTGCCCCCAAGAATATACTTGTGTTGAGAAGCTGAATGGCTTTTTAAGGTTTGAGCTGAAACTCCAGTTAAGCAATGTGGCTTGGATTAGTTCACACGCGTCATTCTTATGAAGCAGCCATTTGGTGTATTAATTTACAAATGCAAACTTTTCAACTGCAAACATCTAAATATGTCATAAATAGGTGACAAATGAACCTATGGCCCCAGATTTGTAAGCTGTTGTTTTGCTGCTTTGATCTGTCTTTGGGTGAAATGTGGCAGTTTAGCAGTAATCTTGGTGGAACTGCATAGAACAACACTTGAAGGCTACTTCAGAAATCACTTGTTCTTTATGTTTTGAGATTAATATAATGAATGATGAAGTGTGCTGACTTTTTTAAACTAGAAGACAATCTTCAGTGTTACATTTAGAAGAGCTTCTCTGTTTTGTTGACCAAATACTGGTCCAATATGTGTCATATTATGTGTTTCATAATAGGCTTCAAATGTTTCTTGTTAGCTTGTCTGAGCTACAACTGGCTCCCTTGAAATCATGGTGCAAATTAACCATTTGTTCTGAGGAAAGTGATAATGCTGATAAAAATATCTCTATCGAAACACTGTCTATCTTGTCTTTTTTGGTAGCTACCTGATCACTATTCTGTGATTACAGAATAACCGAAAGGTATTTTAAAAACCTGGAATACACAAATATGTACAGTAGAGCTGGTAGCTGAAAAATGAGAAAAACACTGCTTTAATATTTAGTTTGGCAGTAACTGCAAATGGCCCGGCCCATTATGGCTTTATTTTCTCATGATATATTTCAGACAGTAAAATGAAGTAACTTTTTATGGATTATATTGCCCTATGTCTCAGTTCACATGTAACCAAAAACCATTGCTTCCCAATATGCATGGACTCTTTTATTGGAACTCTGAATTCAGGGAAATGATCATAGAATAGTAGAGTTGGAAGGGGCCAGAGGACCATCAGTTCCAACCCCCCTGCTCAGTGCAGGACTCCAAGTTCAACCATCTCTCTCGGATGGCTGTGCAGTTGCATCTTGAATGTCTCAAGGTAATTGGTTCCATTGTCATACTATTCTAACAGGAAGTTCTTCCTGATGTCCAGCCAGAATCTGGCTTCCTGAAACTTGAGCCTGTTATTCCATGCACTCTGGGTTATGGAGAAGACATCCTGGTTCTTCTCTTGTGACAACCCTTCATGTACTTGAAGAATGCTATCATATCTCCCCTCAGTCTTCTCTTCTCAAGGTTAAAACATGCCCAGGTTAAAACATACTCTTCTTCTGCCTCAGGTTGCTGTTGCATCTTTGAAGACACTTCATCTTTTTTTTGCCTTCTTGAAGGTGGACACTTGTCCTAGGGCTGTCAACTTTTCCTCTAGGAGGTTAATTAACTTGAACTTCTTGTTCTTAAAGACTGTATTGACCTCAAGGAGAAAGATATTGCACAGACATTGCCAGTCACCACCACTAGGGAGCCTTCTAGGTCAATTTTTTCTGGGTGGTTGCTTCTGCTGTTGCTGCTAGGGAATGGGGAACAGTAACCTGGCAACCTGTTGGGGTGATCTGTCAGCTCCTCCACCCCTGATGTGGCAGCAGTGCCTTATATGGGCTTCTGAGTCCACACACATGATGCTTTTTCTGTTTTGGCAGTGGCAGCCATCTTTACCCTTCAGCTGTCCCTCCCAGTGTCCCTTGCCAGCCCCAGGGTCCACAGGTGGGTGCACAGCATGGGGGATTCAACAACTGGATCCAGCAGATGAGAGGCATCCATGCAGCAGGGCAGTGGTGGTGACCATCTTAGTGGGAGACGTCAACTAGAAGCTTTTCTTTTTCTCCATGCAGGCAAAAGAATGTAAGTGGGAAGTCCATAGTTCTTGCAATGGGAAACCAAGATTTCCTGTGAGGTATAGACTGTGCCTATATGTTGTAATGAATGGCCCCATTCACATGTCACAACAACCCAGGCGTTTCATTGTGAACAAGTGAACATGCTGATGCACACTGTCCTGCCACTTCCACTGCACATGGAGCTGGCTAAACAACCCAGACTTAGTTGCAGGATCGCTTGTCTTAATGGGTGAGCCAAGAACTTTGGCTTGTTTCTTTTCCCAATTATAGTTATTTACTTATTTTATTTTATTTAAAATATTTATATGCTGTTCTGTTGCGAAAGCCTCAGGATGGCTTACATAAATGAAATATATTTTATTTTATTGTAACATGAATAAATCATTGACCCACACTGGCTGCAGTTAAAAACATATAGGACACAATATTAAAACTTATTAAAATATTGCTGAAATAAGGTCTTAACCTGGCACCGAAAAACAAATAACGATGGCACCAGGCAGACTTCTCTGGAGAGCACATTCCATAGGCGTGGCGCCACTGCAGAGAAAGAGCTCCTCTGGGTACTCACCCTCCTAATGTCTTTCACAGAGGGTTCCCGGAGGAGGGCTTCTGCTGCCGATCTCAGGGAGCAGGAGGGCAAATATGGAAGAAGGCATTCCTTTAGGTATCCTGGTCCCAAGCCATTAAGGGCTTTATAGGTAATAACCAGCACCTTGAATTGAGCCCGGACTTCGATGGGAAGCCAATGGAGCTGATAGAGGAGTGGGGTTATGAGAATAACGCCCAGTCCCCTTCAGCAACCTGGCTGCTCTGTTTTGCACCATCTGAAGCATCCAGACTGTCTTCAAGGGCAGCCCCACATAGAGCGCATTGCAGAAATCCAACCGGGAAGTAACCGATGCATGTGTCACTGTTGCTAGGCATTCTTCCTCCAGGTAGAGATGCAGCTGATAGATTAGCCAAAGCTGAAGCAAAGTGTTCCTTGCCACCGCAGTCACTTGAGCTTCCAAGGACAGCTCTGGGTCGAGGAGCACTCCCAAGCTGCGGACCCTGTCCTTTAGAGGGAGTGCAACCCCATTCAGGGCAAGGTCCAAGTCACCTACCCAGGAGCTCGATCCACCCACCAACAGGACCTCCGTCTTGTCTGGATTGAGTTTCAGTTTATTGACCCTCATCCAGCCACCGGTTCAGTACAGCCACTGCCTCACCTGGATTAGTTGAAAAAGAGAGGTAGAGCTGGGTGTCATCAGCATACTGATGACTCCACAGCCCAAACGTCCTGATGACCTCTCCCAGTGGTTTCATGTAGATGTTGAATAGCAAGGGGGACAAAATGGATCCCTGCGGAACTCCATGGCATAGCTGCCATGGCGCAGAGACATGGTCCCCCAGCACCACCTTCTGGAATCGGCTGTTGAGATAGGAGTGGAACCATTGCCAAGCAGAGCCTCCTACTCCCAGTCCCACCAGCCTATCCAGGAGGATACCATGGTTGATGGTATCGAAAGCCACTGAGAGGTCCAGGAGAACCAACAGGGACACACTCCCTGTCTCTCTCCCTGCACAGGTCAACATACAGGGCGACCAAGGCAGATTCAGTACCATACCCGGGTCTGAAGCCAGACTGAAATGGGTTCTGATAATCAGTTTCATTCAAGAGTGCTTGGAGTTGTCCCGCCACCACCCGTTCCAACACCTTGCCCAAAAACGGGATGTTGGCCACTGGTCTATAATTGGCGGCCATCTCTGGATCCAGGGACACCTTCTTTAGGACAGGCCTGATTACCATCTCCTTTAAAGGAGCGTGCACCCGGCCATCCCTCAGAGAGGCGTTAATAACCTCCAGGATCGAGGCACCAATCCCGTGTTTGGCTTTGGTCAGCAGCCACAAAGGGCAAGGGTCGAGTAAGCAGGTGGTGGGACATACTTGTCCAAGTACCTTGTCCACATCATCAGGCCACAATAACTGAAATTCATCCATTAATACCTGACCAGACAGTCATTGGCATCTCCCCTAAAGGATCTGAATCACTTGTGGAGCCCAGCTCGTGATGAATCTGAGCTATTTCCTCCTTAAAGTGCTGGGCAAAGTTGTCACAGCGGGCCATCGAAGGTAGTACAGGATCTATCTTAGGGCCAGGGTGTATCAGCCCATGTACCACTTGAAAGAGCTCCGCTGGACGGCACTGTGAGGAGGCAATGGAAGTGGAGAAGAATTTCTTCTTCGCTGCCCTCACCGCCACAGCATAGGCTCGATAATGAGCTCGTAGGCATGTTCAGTCAGATTCATCCCATGAGTTCCTCCACCTACGCTCTAGATGTCTCCCAACCCGCTTCATCGCCCGTAGTTCAGATGTGTACCATGGGGATGGACGGGCTCTGCCTGGCAGGAGAGGACGCTTAGGAGTGATCATGTCAATAGCTCTGGCTATTTCCCCATTTCACAGTTCAACCAGAGCATCAACAGGAGCGCCAGCTTTATCAACCAGAAAATCCCCCAGAGCTTTCAGGAATCCAGCTGGATCCATCTGGCTCCAAGGGCGGACCATCACAATAGGGTCCACACCCTTGCAGAGGGAAAGGCCGGCTCCGAGCTCAAACCTCATGAGGAAGTGATCTGACCATGACAAGGGAGTCAGATGCAAATTTCTCACCCTCAGATCACCCTCTTCCTGCCCTGTCAAGAAAACCCAGTCCAGCGTGTGACCATGTTCATGGGTTGGGCCTATGACATGTTGGGACAGCCCCATGGCCATCATGGAGGCCATGAAGTCCTGAGCAGCCCCGGTCAGAACAGTCTCGGCATGGAGATTGAAGTCCCCCAGGACCAACATCCTGGGGGCGTTCAACACCAGGTCCTAGATGATCTCTGTCAGCTCAGGCAGGGAGTCTGATGGGCAGAGGGGTGCACGGTACACCAGCAGAATCCCCAATCTGTCTTGGTCACCCAACACCAAGTAGAGGCACTCTAGGCCCGGCCTCGAGAGTGCAGGAAGCCCTGCGAGGGAGATAGAAGCTCGGTAAATTAAAGTGACCCCCCTTCCCCTCCCCTCCCCTCCGGACTAGATACCCAGGCGGGCACAGCTGAGAGAGGGATACTTAACCCCCCTCTCCCACCCAGGTCTCTGTAATGCAAGCCAGGTCGGCCCCCTTATCCACAATTAAGTCGTGGATGAGGGATGTTTTGTTATGGACCGACCTGGCATTAAGCAGCAGCACCGTCAGGCCCGAGGAGCAGTTGATAAATTTACCCGGAACCTTCCGGTTGGGGGAATAACCAGAAGGGGGAACAGGTATCAACCATCTGTCCCTCCTTCTTCTATACTGACATGTTAAACCCCCAATGCTGTATCAACCCTTGCCCAACACCACCCCAATGGTGGCTCCCCAGGCAACCCCATAGAAGCAGCCAGATGTGAAGTCATTAAAAACCAATCTGATAAAATACAATTAAAATACAATTAAAACCCTCCAACCCACCCACTACTAAACAAACGCAACACACACATAGTACTTGGCCAGCCCAGCCCCGCCTGGCCCCAAACAGTCCCAAATGGCGACAAAGGTATTTCTTATATTGCAGTGGGAGTGATTGGACAGCCTGAACCAGTGGTATCAGTGGCTCACAAGAGCCTAGGGTTCAACCTGCCCCTCCAAACCACCGGGGTTGTTGTAATGACAAGAGACTGGCCCAGTTTGAATGTCACAGCATGTTGTCTGCTTCGCAAAGTCAGCTTTATGAACAATACATTAGAGTAAGATATACAGATATCTCTAAGTACAATCTGACATGGTCAAGTCTTTAACTTTAAAAAAGGTGTCTGTGTCTAAATTTCCTGATGCAGGAGCACTTCTGTTTAATTAACAAAGAAGAAGAAAAATTCTAGTCAAGAATATAGTGGTATGACTGAGCTATTCATACAGACTTTTGTATGGAAGAACATTAAATTTCCAACTTCTGTTCAGTGTCTACTTCAGTTTAATGTCTATATGATTTTTTTTCTTTGTGGATATAGTCCCACACTCCTGCTGGTGATTTAACTACATGCATGGATTTAGTCCCAAGAAGTGGCACAATCCATTTCGTGCAAGCCAGTCTCAAAACAAGTTAATGCTGATAAGAAACTGTACATGAGTCTAATTTGAAAGATGTAGGACTTAAACACATCTATTGTCCTAATATCAGATTTCAATTCTCCTCTTTAATTTTACAGATGATCATAAAACACTTGCAGTCTGTCAACCTCGTAATAATAGGAGCTGCAGTAAAATGCATGGCTCATCTGTTTTGCAATCCTGTGCCTGTTTAAACAGAAAAGGTCAAGAGCTAGCTGGGGCATGCTGGGTGTTGCAAGCCTTTCTCTGCTGAATGTGGTCCGCTAATTCTGTATCACTTGCTACAAAAAAAAATGTGTGGTTTTATTTATACTTCCAACAAATATTGATGAAATTTCTACAACTTCTAGAAAACAGACAACACTGAAGCACAGACAAATGTGCTAAGCTTCCTATCTGCAACTTATCCAGAAAGGATTTCCTCCTCTTTTTTTTTTTTTTTTTTTTTTTAAGTTTTTTTTTTTTTGTCCAAATTTCATAAATATTTAGGGGGAGTAAAAAAAAATAAAAAAAAAAAAAATTTTTTTAATTTTTTTTTTTCAATTTATCAAAAAAATATTTTCCCCCTTTTTTTTTTTTTTTTTTTTATATAGAGGATTTTTATGTTGCCCTCATCGCAGAAAGCCTCAGGGCGGCTTACAAAGCAGAATAAACAAAAATAGAATAAACATTAAAAATCTGGAGCATCTCGGCAATAGTATAAAACCAGTAAATAAAAACAACAATTAAAATATTGTTTAAATAAAAAGGTCTTGGCCTGGTGCCAAAAAACAAATAACAACGGCACCAGGCAGACCTCTCTGGGGAGCGCATTCCATAGGTGGGATGCCACTGCAGAGAAGGCCCTCCTGCAGGTGCTCACCCTCCTAATATCCTTCACAGAGGGCTCCTGGAGAAGGGCCTCCCCCCCCCCGATCTCAGGGGGCGGGAGGGCATAAATGGACACAAGCGCTCCTTTAGATAACCAGGACCCAAGCCGTTGAGGGCTTTATAGGTGATAACCAACATCTTGAATTGGGCCTGGACTTCAATGAGGAGCCAGTGAAGCTGACAGAGGACTGAGGTTATATGCGAACAATGCCCAGTCCCTGTCAGCAACCTGGCAGCTCTATTTTGCACCATTGAAGTATCCGGACAGTCTTCAAGGGCAGCCCCACATAGAGCGTGTTACAGAAGTCTAATTGGGAAGTTACCAATGCATGTGTCACAGTCACCAGGCAATCGTTCTCCAGGTAGGGACGCAGCTGATGGATCAGCCGAAGCTGAAGGAAAGCGCTTCTCGCCACTGCTGTTACTTGAGCTTCTAATGACAGCTCTGGGTCGAGGAGCACTCCCAAGCTGCGAATGCTGTCCCTAAGAGGGAGTGCAATCCCATTCAGGACAAGGCCCAGGTCCCCCATCCCGAAGCCTGACCCACCTACCAACAGGACCTCCATCTTGTCTAGATTGAGCTTCAGTTTATTGGCCCTCATCCAGCCCATTACCTCGGCCAGGCACCGGTTCAGTACAGCCACTGCCTCACCTGGATTGGTTGAGAACGAGAGGTAGAGCTGGGTGTCATCAGCATACTGATGACTCTGCAGCCCAAACCTCCTGATGACCTCTCCCAGTGGTTTCATGTAGATGTTGAATAGCAAGGGGGACAAAATGGACCCCTGTAGAACTCCATGGCATAGGTGCCATGGCGTAGAGCCATAGTCCCCCAGCACCACCTTCTGGAATCGGCCATTGAGATAGGAGCGGAACCACTGCAAAGCAGTGCCTCCAACTCCCAATTCTGCAAGCCTATCCAGAAGGATACCATGGTCGATGGTATTGAAAGCCACTGAGAAGTCCAGGAGAACCAACAGGGATGCACTCCCCCTGTCTTTCTCCCTGCACAGGTCAACATACAGGGCGACCAAGGCAGATTCAGTACCGTACCTGGATCTGAAGCCAGAGTGAAATGGGTCCAGATAATCAGTTTCCTCCAAGAGTGCTTGGAGTTGTCCCACCACCACCTGCTCTAACACCTTGCCCAAGAACAGGATGTTGGCCACCAGTCTATAATTGGCAGCCACCTCTGGATCCAGGGATTCCTTCTTTAGGACTGACTGGACTACTGCCTCCTTTAAAGGGGCAGGTACCCGGCCGTCCCTTAGAGATGCATTGACAATAGGTCCCAATCCCGTCCTTTGCTTTCTTAAGTAGCCAAGGTTGGGCAAAGGTCCAGTAAGCAGGTGGTAGGACGTACTTGTCCAAGCACCTTGTCCACATCATCAGGCCGCAACAACTGAAATTCATCCATCAATTTTGGACCAGACGGCAACATTGGCACCTCCCCAGAAGAATCTGATTCACTAGTCAAGTCCAGCTAGTGACGAATCTGAGTGATTTTCTCCCTGAAATGCTTGGTGAAGTCATCACAGCGGGCCTTTGAGGGTGGCACGAGTTCTTTCCTTGGGCCCGGATGTGCTAGCCCCTGTACCACCCAAAAGAGCTCTGCCGGATGGCATTGTGAGGAGGCAATGGAAGTGGAGAAGAATTTCTTCTTCGCCGCCCTCACTGCCACAGCATAGGCCCGATAATGGGCTCTTAAGTGTGTTTGGTCAGATTCATCCCATGATTTCCTCCACCTACGCTCTAGATGTCTCCCAACCCGCTTCATCGCCCATAGTTCAGGTGTATACCAAGGGGATGAACAGGCTCTGCCAGGTGGGAGAGGATGTTTAGGAGCAATCATGTCAATTACCCTGGTCATTTCCCCATTCCATAGTTCAACCAAGGCATTGGCAGGAGCACCAGCCTGATCAACTGGGAAATCCCCCAGGGACTTCAGGAATCCATCTGGATCCATCAGGCTCCGGGGATGGACCAGCACAATTGGGTCCACACCCTTACAGAGGGAAAGGCCACTCTCAAGCTCAAACCTCACGAGGAAGTGTTCTGACCATGACAGGGGTGTCAGGCACAAGTTCCTCACCCTCAGATCACTCTCTTCCTGCCCCATTGAGAAAACCAGGTCCAGAGTGTGTCCACGTTCATGGGTTGGGCCAATGACGTGTTGAGACAGCCCCATGGCCACCATGGAGGACATGAAGTCCTGAGCCGCCCTGGTCAGAACCGTCTCGGTGTGGAGATTGAAGTCCCCCAGGACCAACATATGGTTATGTTCTCATATAACCCCAGTTCTCCGTCAGCTCCACTGGCTCCCGATTGAAGTCCGGGCCCGATTCAAAGTGTTGGTTATGACCTATAAAGCCCTAAACGGCTTGGGACCTGGATATCTAAAGGAATGCTTGTGCCCATATATGCCCTCCCGCCCCTTGAGATCAGTAACGGATGCCCTTCTCCGGGAACCCTCTGTGAATGATATAAGGAGGGTGAGTACCCGGAGGAGGGCTTTCTCTGCGGTGGCGCCCCATCTATGGAATGCGCTCCCCAGAGAGGTCCGCCTGGCGTCATCGTTATTTGTTTTTTGGCGCCAGGCTAAGACCTTTTTATTTAAAACTTATTTTAATTGCTAAATTATTGTATTAATTAGGATTTTAAAATTTTTAGCTGAGAATGCACCGGGGTTTTTTAAAGGTTGTTGTTGTTGTTGTTGTTGTTGTTGTTTCTTCTTTTAATTGCTATATTATTATTTATGTATGTTTTATATATTCTTTGTGAGCCGCCCTGAGGCTTTGTTGCGATGGGGGTGGCATAGAAATGTTTTAAATAAACAAATAAATAAACATCCTGGGGGTCTTCAACACCAAGTCCACGACTATCTCCGTCAGCTCAGGCAGGGAGTCTGTTGGGCAGAAGGGTGCACAGTCCACCAACAGAATTCCCAGTCTGTCTCGGTCGCCCAACACCAAGTAGAGGTACTCTAGGCTCGGCCTTGAGAGTGCAGGAAGCCCCACAAGGGAAATAGACACTCGATAAACCAGAGCGACCCCCCCTCCCCTCCCTGCGTGGTCAGTGCTGGATCAGATACCCGGGTGGGCACAGTTGAGAGAGGGAGACATCCCCCCCCCGCCCAGATCTGTGTAATGCATGCCAGGTCGGCCCCCTCATCCACATTCGAGTCATGGATGAGGGATGATTTATTGTGGACCGAGCTGGCATTAAGCAGCAGCACCGATAGGCCTGGGGGGGCAGTTGACAAGACTATCTGGAACCCTCAGGCTGGGGGAATAACCAGAAAGAGGAACAGGTGTTAACCATCTGTCCCTCCTTCTTCTACGCGGACACGTTAAACCCTCAACGCCATAATGTCCATTGCCCATGACCACCCCAATGGCGGCACCCACGCGCTCCCCAGGCAACCCCATGTGTATATTTATCATATTTATATTCTGCCCCTTTTCCTTTCAAGGAATTCAAGGCAGCTTACATAATTTTTCTTTTCCTCTTGATATCTTGAGCACTACACCATACTGGCCTTAATAAAGATATTTCCCATCTTTGATTTTTATCTTCAGCGTTGGACAAACATCTCACAACATGCTGCATCTTCCTCCCTGGACCAGATCACAAGAGGCAGTGCTTTTTTTGTAAAAAAAAAAAAAAAGGTGCTGGAACTCACCTCTTGGGGTCACACTTTTACACTAAAAAATATTTTCAATTCACCAACATTTTTGAAATAAAGAACTTATTTACCTTTTGCACATAGCCAGTCACTCTACACATACATAAACATAATGGTCACTGACAGCAGTAAGCACTCAGCATGCGACCACACGACCGATCCCAAGCTGAGCAGCATCCCGAGCCGAGCAGCACCCTCACAAGCAGCGTGGACACACATGCAGCCCGCAGGCACTATTTTAATGCTTTTTGCTGCTGTCCTACTACGCCCAACAGAGCAATTTACAATCACATGGAAAAATCCATCAAAAAAAGGTGCTGGAATGCCGTTCCAGTGCGTTCTATGACAAAAAAAAGCCCTGACAAGAGGTAATGAGCTTCTTGCAGTGACACTGTGAAAATGAGATGGTGATGGAAAAGAATTCTCTTTGCCATGGAGCAGACTCAGTTATGAGCTCTAACCTGTGTTCAGTTACATGTGGCACAAGCATCCTCCCTCTGCATTCAACCTTCCCTCTTGCTTCATTACCTCCAGATGGGCTCCATCCAGAGGGAGGGGGCGTTTGGGTATGAAGTCATATCTCCCTTTTTCAGAATGACCAGCACTTCAAAAAGAACACTAGTCATACTGGTAGGAAAATCCCCCAGAACTTTCAGAATTGATTGGAAACCAATGGCTATGACTGCTGAGAATGATAGGAGTTGCAGTCAACACATTTGGAAGGCATCAGGTTGGGTAAATTTGCTATAACACAAAAGTGTGCCACAGAAGAGAAAATCTCACAGCCTGGTACAAGCTAAAACTGTCAACAGATCCCAGTATTTCTTACATGATTGAACCCCCTGGCCCTGGAAAGTTTAGTTGGATTCCACTAATTTTCTATAGCCAATTCACATGCCCCACCTCATCAAACTGAGATGAAAATGCCATGAAATATATCAAGGACTCTAGAAATAAACACTGCATAACATAAAGATTTCAGGGCTTCAAGGCATGTAGCCAAACCTGTTTGTGGAGCTTATTGACTTTTTAAAAAGTGGAATGAAAAGTGGGGTCAGTGCTGGAGTCATAGAACTGAACAGGATTTACCTGTCCATTGGAAACACTTTCTGGTTCAATAGCAGGTTAGAAGGCCACAGTTCACTTTACACTGGTTTCATTAATATATGACATTTCTATACCATCCTATAACTCTCTGAGCAATTCCCCTACATTGAGACCCTAGAATCCAAAAAGGCAGAGCAGGGAGAAGCTTAATAGCTACAAAAAGGTTCAAAACAGCTAAAAATAGTTAACAATAAACCACCAAGAGACAATAAATATTTAAAAGTCCCATCAAAAGTCTAGCTGTAGAGGAAAATCTAAACCTTGTACCAAAAAGATGACAGTGTTAACACCAGGAGGACCTCCGTGAGCACCCTTCTCTGCAGATGCCCTCTCTTGAATGTGTTCAAAGGATAACTCAGAAGCATATATTCTGAAAAAAGGAATCCTGTGCACTTTAATCTCACACTGATTTTTGTCTTGAAGAGACAAAAGCAGAAGAGAATTTAAATGGAAGACAGCAATGTATTGCCTGGGATATAACATATACAGGGATATAACATATACAGCTTTTTATTTCCTGTCCTTCTGCCAAGGGACTCAAATTGCGCTGTTCAACAGCCTGAAGTACAAGGTGAAAGGTGGATGGGGTAGCAGTGATTCTAGGCAAATAATAGAATCAAGATAATGCTGTCCTGCTGCACAGAACCAGACCTGAACTGAGCGGCTGTGGGGTGCAGCCTGGGGAAATTTTGCAAAGAGAAGCAGAGCTAGGATGCAGTTTGGCAGAGCTGGGGAAAGAAACAGCATAGTCAGCTCGAAGGAATGGTCAAGTGGGACAGAAACAAGTGCTCTGAGCCCTCAAGAGACCTGCCTAGGAGGATGGAGAAGGCAGAAACCTTTAAGTCTACACAGCACTTGGTCTTTGCTTTCTACTGGGCAGGAGGCAGGGAGCAAGATTTGGCAGTCCTGGAATGGAAAATGGTAAACTAGTTGCTCCTCACACCATGGGCAATTTAAATTTACCTGCCAGGTAAAGAATTTACTCTCCAGGCAGGGACTTAATCTTTAATCCGGTGGCTTTTTAGTGTTTTTAATATTTTCAATGTTCTAATGTTTACCATTCCAATATTGTATTATTTTGATATGTCCAGTATTGTTTTTCTTTATGTTTTTATGGTTGTAAAATGCCTCAAGAGTATTCACCTTTTGAGCAATATATAAAAATTAATAAACCTACATTTGAATATTATGCTTATCAATAATTTGCCAGGTATCTTTGATTGTTTGTACAAGTAATCAACACAGACAGGTTTGGAGTGCTCCCAATTCCTCACTGGTTACCAAAACCCTACAGCTGGGTCTGAAAGCCAGGAAAAAACACAGTGAGATAAAGGTAGTACCATGTTACAAGCTGGGAAAATGTGGGTGGCAAATATAAGAAAAAACAGATTTTACTTCTTTTTCTGGTCTTGGTACTGGGTACCTGACAAAACACAGTTTTACTGGTTTAACCAGTGAGCTGCTCAACAACTGTGGAGGCACTAATTCCTGGGCCAAACAAAGGGCTGCAGTAACCACACATGCTGCACCTTCCTAAGGCTACCTGTGAACCAAAAACACCAATCTGAAAGTTGTTTCAAAAATATAATCTACATTTTTCTTGCAATCAGTCCAACTATATATATTAGCCAGAGGAGAAATGCTCTGACCTTTAAAGTATTTGCTGCCAGGGCTGGGTCTATGTGAGAGGAATAGTAAAACAATTATGATCCTTTTATCCTGGTTCTGTGAAGGTCAAGCATGCTAAGTACTGTTGACCAATCAGTTTAAAGCCTATTTTCTCAAAATGTGTGTCTGCACATGATTCCTGTCTGTGGATTTTGTAATAGCCCACTGTTTCCAGAATAGAAACAGCTGCAGGAAAGGGCCCTTTCTTATTAATTTTATTTATTTATTTATTTAAAAATTTCTACGCCGCCCCATTCACCAAAGCCTCGGGACGGCTTACAAAACATCAGTTAAAATATAAAACACTAAAAATATAAAACACATTAACATATATTAACATTATAACATTATAGTTGTTTATTATATGTATCCCTTGCCTTTTTCCCTTTCAAGGAACTCAGAGCAGTGAACATCATTCTCCTCCTGCTGCTCTCAATCTAATCTCCACAAAACAACCCTGTGAGGTAGGCTGTCCTCAAGTTAACCAGTTGGCTCAATGGCTGAACAGGGACTGGATTCCAGATTACCTGAGTCTCAATCCCATGCTCTTAATCACTACACCATACTGTCTCTCTTTCTATGACAGCAGAAACAACGGAAAGCCAAACACTCCTATATTCTTATGGGGTATAGAATAGAACAACAGCAGAATGGGCTGAGTATCCTATATGCACTCAGTTTGGAAGAAGAGAAGCAAAAGAGAATCAGAAAATCCCCAAATAGCACAAAAATGGCAGACACATCACCAGACCCCAGCAGTCAGGGGCTAGGTCTGCAGTGTTGCACAGCCTTACTTTGGACACAGACAAGAAAAAATCAAACTTTTAAAAGTTTTGGGCCTACCAGGGGTTGGTGCACCCA